CCCCGCCGCGCATCTTCTTTGTCTTGCCCAGGACAGACACTTTGTCGAAATAGCAGCCCTGTTGGAACTGTGCGCACCTATCGCAGGTCGTAGCATTCTCGGCCCACACGCAATCGACCGGGGCCGAGCGGTAGCCGGCGCAACGGTCGCACTATCGAAGAGTTAGCTTCGAACCGCTTCGACGAAGAGTCGAGCTTACCTTCTGTCCCGACTGGCGCTTCTCAATCGCCGCGGCGGCCATGTCGACCTCGGTCATCGCGAGCGGACGTTCGACCGTCCGAGGAGTCTTCTACGAAAAAGAGATTAGTCACCGAACGACGATAGAAGAAAATACTTACGATCGAAGGGTCGTCCGACAGTTCAGCGACTTCCTCGTCGACCCTCGCGTGCCCCTTCCCCTTGTCGACACCGGCAGGCGCGGGGTCAGAAAGAAGGCCTTCGGCGGCCGCGATCCGCGCCAACTCCTCATCAGCGGCCTCTTGCGCGCGACGTTCGTCTTCGAGGCGCCGTTCCTCTTCGTCCTTTCGACGCCGTTCGTCTTCGAGGCGACGTTCCTCGGCGGCCTTCGCACGCTTTGCGGCCTCTTCGACGCGTCGTGCTTCCTCCTCGGCGAGGCGCTTCTGTTCTTCGAGGCGTCGTTCGACCTCGGCGTCGATGGCGGTCGCGAGCTCTGGCCAGTCACCGCGCGCCCATTCGACCCACGACTCCGACGCCCGCTCGGCGAGTTGCTTGACGGCGGCGGCGACGCGCAGCTCCGTCTCCTCGTCGCGGATGGCGCCCAAGGCCTTGCGATAGGCGAGCTGTTCGAAAACAAAGGGTTAGTTGGGTTAGGCAGATTTACGAGCGACTTACCACGAGCGGCGACAAGTCTTGTGCCCACTCTTCGACCACATCGAGCGTGGCGTCGGCGGTCGGCGGAGCCTCGAGGACCACAAGCAGAGAAGCGAGGCGGCGGTTGACGAGCGAAGGCGTCGACGCAGGGGTGGCGGAGCGAGCAGACATCGGGGAAGCAGCGAGTATATGAGAGAGGGCGACGAGGTAGCGACGAAGGAACGATGGGATGGGGAAAATAAGGCTAAGTCTACCCTGCTTATAACCCCTTTCCGACCAGCATTTAGCGCCGGCCACGTGGCGTTCGAAGTCTACCCGGGTTGCCATTCCGCTTCGATCCGTTCACGACCATAGCGCTTCTCGCATCACGTGGAGGACCGAGGGCGGTCCAAATTTCAATAGGGAGGAGATGATAGGCGCCAAGCCCCTCTGGGCCCCGATTCACCTCTTTTTGGCACTCGCATCCCGCCCGGCACTTCGACTCAGTCTCCCAACACTTCGATTTCGCCTTCGACACTCTTCGACACCTTCGACGGTGCGCGACGCTTACTCGAAGCTCGGTACGGTCTTCCCGATGCCTCGTGCGTAGATCTCGGAACATCTTCCGCATTCGGCGAACAATAGGGCCACTTGACGCCGCTCGGCCAAGCGCGCGCTTCGCTCCAAGCCACACCGAGGTAGCCGGTCTTTCCCGATTAGGTATCAAACCTCGCGGCATGCCTTCACGACGGCTACCGGTCCGAAGTGGCCATATGTTGCTCTTCATCTCCGCGTTCGGCATGACGTCACTCTACCGATGGACTTGGTATGTGCCCCTCGGTGAGGCAGGTTCTTGAGGAACAATGCAAAGCCCCTTGTACCAGTGTGCCACTTTCGATAGTCGTAGCGTTCTGTGTAGTATAAATTCTGTCGTACTTCTCCAAAAATAACAAGAGCCGGTTCCCCCCCCTCGAGTTCAGAGCTCATAAGTCGAGTTCGCCCCGCGTCTAAGCTTTCAACTGCGTCACTTCGTCCCTCGCTGCGTAACCTCGAAACCTCGTCCACTGCGTTCACTTGTCGATACCGTCTCGATGAACCCTTTGACTTCGACTATTGTCGAAGAAACTGCGAACCGCGCCCTAGCTAAGTACACCCTATCGAATCGAGTCCCTTCTCTCTACGATACATCGAAGAGTTCTACCGAGCTTCGATCGTCGCTAACTTTCCACAGCCTCCGAGTAGCTTCGACGACGTGTCGAAGCCACCTCGTACCTACCCGTTTGTTCGTAACCTTTCCCAAGAGCGTTTCTCGTGTTCACTCGAACCGCGGGACACCTTGCTGCTAACTCCCCTCTCACTAGACTATAATCCGTCTCTCTAGTCCCTTTAGGTCGCACCCAGGTTAGGGGTTAGGGTTTCGTAGGTCGTATCAGCGCACTGGTCTGTGCACAGCTGGTCTGTGCGCAGCATGCTGACGCGGCCCCAGAGGCCAGTGAGTCAGAAAGGCTGTGTCAGTGGAACCTGAGCTGTGCCGTGCACTGCCACCCCATCTAATATAATTGTACAGTAGATAGCAACATGTCCATATCAGGCATGTAGTACAGAGGTTGCGGGTAGGTTGCGGGTTTGAGCCCGCAAAAAGGAAATTTTTAAAAAACAGCTAGACACCGTGCCAACTCGTGACACCAGCTCTCAGGACTCTCCCCTGTTGCTTGACCTTAAGTCGCGACACTGTCCTCGCAAGCCTTAGAGTTGAAGGAAAAGAGATACAACTGTGTCCATCAATTGCAGAGGAAAGAGAAAGAGAGAAGCAAGGAAAAGTTGAAAAAGAAAATGGGTACCAAGTGCACCATTGTTCTTTGAGCCTTAGGGCATTCTCCTCCACCACACTGTGGAAAATACTATGAGAATGGTAGGTCAGTCCACTAGTCATTAGGAAAACACTCTTTTTGCTTATAGTACTTATGCTGTCTCCTTGACCTGCCACAAACACCATAATCAAAAAGAGTGTTTTCCTGATGACCCCTAATAGGCCTAAACCTGGAGTCTAGACCAAGTCAAAACTCAGAGACACTACCTAGGTTACACTTTGGCTGCGACCACACAGCATAGCCTTATGCTGGAAATTTTGGTTAGCATTGAAGGCATAGAATCAGTATCACAATCTCATCGTAATGTAAAACTTGAATATGCACAATCCGGTTGCAGAAAAATAAATGACTCATGTAAGTACAGTGCCACCGTTGCACCAATTCTGAGCTGAGCTCATGAGTCATGACATCGGCTTCGGGCTGGCTCTTTGACGTCATCGAGAACCGCCAATCAGATTGTGAGAAAAGTCGCTGGTAGTCTCGCGATGCTCGCTCGCACTCCAATCAATAATTTTGGCTCCCGGGCCAATCAGACAGGGGGTCCAGACTCTGGGGTCCGCCGGCTTTCCCGGTAAGGCACAATAAGCTGTGATGCTCTTTCTTGTTCCAAAGCCTCTGCCTGTGCTTACTTACTCTGGCACGGGGCCTGTAGCGTTATGGCAGATACTCTCCAAGGTAGGCTCTCGACTGAAAAAAAGTCGGGGCTGATCCGGTACAGACAGCAAATGTTTCCAGAACTTGCATGTTGGTAGGCCTGCACCAGGCCTTCGTGTGTCTCGCGCTTTTTTCCACATCTGTTGGGGTCTCACAGTACAAAGCACACTGACCGGGTCACTGGCCTGGATGACGAGCTCCCCTGGTGAAAGGTGGAAATTTTGAGCCATGCCGTGTGCGCAGCTGGATCCACTTGGTGAAGTTGGTAGTCTCCCGCACGGCTCGCAGCTTCCAGTACATAGCTGTGCAAGAACATGGGAATAATTTTCCATCCCTCAAAGACCGGCACTCTGTCGTCCCTTTTCCTTTGACCACGTTTCCCTCCACGGATATTCAGACCGATACCCCGAGTCCCGAAACGTTTCAACAGACTAGTGGATCCCGCCCCTGGACTGTCACTTCACGTCCCTCTGAAGATTCCGACCGCTCGGTTGCCTCGTCTAGAGTATGTACGATTTGATCCCTGTTTTGCATAACGTTAATCGGGACGTGTTTTCCCTCATCTCAAGCCGCCGCTTGTCATAGATGGGTCGAAGCCAATATCGATCGCTCCTTTTGGTCGCCCGACTCTATGTCCGGCGGTCGCTCAACTTCAGTTGATGGCGGTTTCAAACGCTATGCCTTTCGTTCTGCGACACTATCCACGGAGGCCGAGAGATCGTCTCGAGGCTCTTCCCGTAGATCCAGCAGATCATGTCCCAGATTCTCGTCTGGTGTTCGTGGCCGGGATGTGGGGCCATCTGCTGGCGTCGTGTATGTGGACGAACCTCACGCCCGGAAACCTCCAGCTGCGGCTCCGGCTCCACGGCACCCCCCACCGAGACCGATTGCTGCTTTGGACGCGATTGTGCCTGTCTCCACACAGACAGGCCCTTCCCGATGACCCGTGAGCCGTCATACTGGCTCTTTTGGTCACGTTTCTGATGGCATTGTACCCGCAGCACAACTATGCGTGGACACTGCAGCCACAATGCCACCCAGTCCGCAGGAAACATCGAGCATGTCATTTTCTGCAACGCGAGCGTCTCCGCGCGAGATGCACGCTCAAGTAGGCCATACAACTCCATCGATCATGTGCATCCTATAGTTATGTTCATTGGATGTGTTTGATGTTCTTCAGACTACCTATTCTCCTGTTCTCGAGGGACGAGGGGCATTAGCGCTCTACTCTTCAAGACCTTCGAGAGGGATGGTACACCGGGGCCTGCACACTCTACGGGCTGAAGACGCGGTGTTGCCGCCCGATGCCGATGTGCTTCGTGAGATACAGAGGATGTTACTGACTGGGAGTATAGGCGAGTCGTCTCATCGTGCCTTCGATCCTCATAGCCTCGATGCCCAGAGGTACCATGCGCGCACTGTTACTTCCGGTCGCAGCCAGAACGAATCGGCAGCTTCAAACAGTCTACACGATCCAAATGATACCTTGGCCAACATGGTGGCATTGCTGCATTCGCAGTCCCTAACGGACAGAAACATAGTTCCAGAACAGTAAATCCCATTCGCGTGATGATGTGCTCGCGGATTCCTTGTTTGTAATCAATCATACCTTGCATTCCCGTCGATTCAACTGAGACGTCCCCCTGTGATGCAACCATCTCGTTTCTACTTCTGCGCTTCAGAATTGTCCACAAACGGATAGTCCGTGTAGCCTCGTGCACTCTCCGCCGTGTAGTATGTGTCGCGGTCGCCCTCCGTCAGCGGCAGGTCCTTCGCAAGGCGGAGGGGGAGGTCCGGCTATTATTGAACGCTGATCAACCGTGTGCGCGACGCACTGGAACGACACGCAGAACACATACATTCGCAAGGAACGCGCGCCCGAAGGCGATCAAATCGCCCGTCTGCTCGCTGGTCTGGAGCGCGAGGTCGCGTGTGAAGCCACCCGCGGCGATGTACGCGCGCGGCGCCCATACCTTACGCAGGAAGTCGTTCGACTATACGAAAGTCAGTGTCAACCCATGACAATTAGTTGCGTGTCAGGTGCGGTGGCCGTACTTGTGACACTCACCTCCTCGATAGGGGACGGCTGGTCCGGGAGCTGATCGATGCGTGGCTCAATGACGTGGATGTATGCAAGGTTGGGGTGTCGCTCTACGAGGCAGGACACGAAATGGGAGAACGTCGGGCGCGGGTCCGTCATGCGCATGTCTGCATAGGAACGCATCGAGGGCCGTTAGCTCAGCTCAACGAGCACGGGCGGTTGCCAGTCTCAATTCCACGTACGCACCTTGATACCTGCTCCAGGGGCTGATCCGGATGGCAGTCTTGTCCTCGCCGATGGCCTTGGATAT